ACCGGAGCGGGTCGCAACCCTGCTGCTCCCTCCGCGTCAATTCCTCCCGCGCTGCCTCGGCGCGGCCACCTCTGCAGCATCCGGCTCGGCGTGCTGTCCCCGGGCGGCCACCGGACTCTCCGCTTGGGTGCCGGCTCCCGCTGCATCAGGTCCCCGACAGGGCCGGGCTCGGCGGTCTGCCGCGCACCGCGGGGACCCGGGATTTGCCTGGAGAAGCTCTAAGTTTATGGGGCCCCAGCAAAACATCACCACTCGGGTTCACAGGGAATTGGGGAGCAAGGACGTTCAGTTTGAAGGCCCGTCCACGGGTTCCCTATTCCAGGCTCCCAAACTAACGCCCTAGGGGTTGGAAGTGGTTGCACGCTGGGTAGGGAGCAGGAAGAGAGGCTTACCGGAATTTCGGAGCTTCTTGTTCTTCGACACAGCCAAAATGACCATGGAGTTGCCAATCAGGTCTACGACGATGGTGATGACCATTGCGCAGAACATAAAGATGATTAGAGCGGGTGGGTAGTCTGGCTGCGGCAGCTTACAGCCAATACAGCCATATGGGGTAGGAACGGCTAGAGTAGGAGGCCCCATCTTGCTGCAGGAGACCGTTAGGTTCTCCCAGCTGGGCCCGGACAGCAAACACCTGCTCTGTAGCCAGGAGCTTCGGGAAAGCGGCCACCTCTCCGAGAGTCAGAGAGCAAGTGACAGCATTCCCGCCCCGCTCCGATGAGCTTTTAAAGCCTCAAGAGGCGGCTAGCCCCACCCAAAGCCCCTCCCCCCGACCAATCAGAGCTTCCCTGACCACCCCCGCTTTGATCTCCATCTCCTCTTGGACAAATCCACATCGAGGTGTCGTCTTGCTTCCGACTGCCTTGTATGTGCTTCCCCTCTAGCCGCTCCCCCTCCCACCACCGTCCCTCAGGTACCTTGCTTCGTGACCAGCTCAGAATCCACCTCCCCCTCACCAGCCACTGCTCATCCGTTTCTAGCAAGTTCTCCCTCCCACTCCTACACAAGCAAACGTTGTTGTTTGCAAAGTAGAGCCATGGGGTTTCCTCTTTGGGTCCAGTGCCAACCCAAGCCAGTCTGAAGCCCCCAGGAGAGTGTGAGGGGTGGCCAGTGGCCCCTTGAACCATAGATATTTGCCCTTGCGATCTCCTTAAGAGGGTCATCCCATCCCAGGGCCCTTGCAAGTTCAGTGCCTTCTGTACTCTGCGGGGAGCAGGAGATAGCTGCCTGGGGGCGGGGGGCTTCCATCCCTGGTCTGGGCCCCCGTTCTGTAGGGAGCTTATCCCCACTCCGGTGCATGGCAGGAGTTGTTTGGCTCCCATAGCAGCAGCAGCGGGTGGCTGTCTCCGTGAGGAGATGTCTCCTACACCAGGCCCCGGGAACAGGGATCCAGTCTGTACTCTGGGAGTGAGGGGAGTTAGCTGGTGGCCGCTTGCCCCCAACTTTGGGGCAAGCGAGAGTGAGAGCTCATCGGCTTCCCCTCTGCTGGGCACCCTGACTGCAGGGGCTTAGAGGCTGCTCTGGGGAAAAGTAAAACTGGTGGGGGGTGAGGGGACCTTCTCTTGGGCTGTCGGTCCTCAAAGAAACCCGGGGCGAGCCGCTCCGATTCTCGTCCTCTCTCGAGGTGCTCCGCACGCTTTACAGTGTGGCGCGGGACGCTGGGGTAAACTCAGGGAGCTGTGCCGGAGCAGCGCGACAGGCGCGGAGATGCCGAGCTGCGCAGCTTAGAAGCCAAGGGCAAAACAGCAGCCCCTGCCCCAGGCATAATTCATCTCAACCCATCTCCCTTGCCTTCTCTTGTCAGGGTCTTATTTCGACCTCAGCTGGGTCGGGCCGCCCCATTGCCCCTCGGATCTCCCTCCCCAGGCGATACGGTTCCCTGCGGTGCGCCCAGGCTCTTGGAGAGCACAGGCCACGGGAAATCCGAAAGGTTCGGGCTAAAAGGACAACATCAGGATACCCGCTCCCTCAAAGACCTTGGTCACGGGGGTGGGTATTTTGCCGGCTACTAAAAGTTGTGACTGTTGTTGAGAAGCCTCCCAGAAAATTTCAGCAAACACCTAGAAATTTGTCCCAGACTAGCCTTCCTGCTGCAGTGGGGGAGAGGGGGTTGGACTGTCCCGGAGCGCCACCGTCTGGACACTGCCTCCCTCTTGCCCCACGGAGAGGGGGGCGGACACGGGGAGAGGGGATGGAGGCGGGTTCGGCGAGGGACTTCAACATTCAGGGACCTTTAACGGAAAGATAGATATGGCTGAAAATCAAGATTGCATGCACTTTCTCCAGCTGTAAAACCAAACTAGTAACGCGTCCCCTTGTTTGAAGACGAACCCTCCACCCCCAATCCTGTTAATGCTGCTGAGAGGGGAATCCGCCACGAATAACGATCTCCCGCCTGGAGCCTTATCTCAGTCATTATCTCGCTGCTCCCGGTCGGCTGGAACCCGGGCCGGGCCGCGCGCTCTCGGGGCTGGACTTAGCCAGGATTTACCGTAAATGCAGCCCTAAAACAGGCTCTGCTATCCTCCTTAGGCAACTGTGAGCCCCGAAGAGGGACCAAAGCCCAAATAAAGCCCGTCCACATCGTGGAGTAGTTCGTGGAGTAGTTTGTTCACATCAGGCTGCTGGTGCTGATTTCCCGAGGGTTTGGGTCCTTTTTCTTTTGGCAAAGAGGGGTTTTTTTTATTCAAATAAGCAAAATTGTGAACGAAAAAGGGAAACCAGCATTCTAATGATTTAAGACACTAGAGTGTCCCCTACCCAAGCCCCTCCTCCGCAAACAATCCTGTACAGAGAGCTGGCAAACCGTTCTCCAGTGCACCCACAGTACTTCTGAGATGAAGTGGCCCCAGAGCTGGTGGAGGCGCAGGACACTGGGAATCGTAGATGAACATGGCTGGACTTCCCTGGTACTGAGGAGCGGGAGGAAGAGAGGGTGAGCTGATCCCTGGCCCCAGCCCCTGTTTTGACACTGCTTGACCATAACCTCATAGGGGCTTGGACTTTTCAGTGCTAAGCAAGTGGGAGAGGCAACTATTTTAATAATGGGGGAGGGCGGAGAATTCTGCATCTAGTTAAATTAATTTTCTTATTTTTATGAACTATCTGAATAAAGATTCTGAACATTGTCCTTGTACTAAGAAAAACAGATAGCTATTGAATTATTATGTAGAAATACATGAGGAAGAAAAGCAGTCAGGCTTTGCAAGGGTAGGACAAGACCCATATGCAACAGGCTCTGTTACTTTGGAGCAGTTAAGAGGGGCGCTTTTTATTGGGAAGGCTGCAGTACATATGGTTTATTTAAGCTTCCAAGAGATTTTTAATTAAGTGTATTTCTAAAAGTTCTGCTAAGAAGCCCTAATAAGTGGGGGTGGAGAGTAACACTTTACTGGGGATTGGAAAGCTATTAAGATACAGATGCAAATTAGAGGAGACCTAGGACATTCCCTGGGGATCCCATATGGAGATTGGGAAGGAGAAAAGTCAATGGATAGTGGACAGGGAATAGCATACAGAGTTTGCAGTCCTGAAACACAGTGGGGTCCCAACATGGTCCCTTCTCCTAGTCACTTATTATGAGATTAGAGAGACTACACAGTCTCCCAAAGGACTCCCAGCACTGAGAGCTCGGGACATCCCAGGCAGAGGCGGTGCCAAGGGAGTGTTCTGTATGGAAGGCAGGTATTAAAAGATTTCCCCTCTCTTCTTGCTGATACAGAAACCTTTCTTTCATCTCAGCCTCCACATTTCTCATCTTTTGAAGAACTGAGGATCAGGGAGGGCCTGGCAGTCAGGGTAGCCCCTGGCAACTTGACACTCTCTTTATAAGTGAGTGAGAGCAAGCAAGCAGTTTCTGCTCAGAAATCGGTGGCTCTTTTCTTTTCTTTTCTTTTTTTCTTTTCTTTCTTTCTTTTTTTTTTATTCCTGCACACACAAGGATAGTGCCACACCTTCAGATCTCTTATTATAGAGGCAATGACAGAAAGTTAACTTTCATCATATCTCTAGGCTTTCTGTTCAGCCCTCAAGTATTATAATGATACCTTACTTGTAATTAGGACACTGTAATTTTAAATAAGTGTTTTATCATTTTCAAAATCCTATCAGGAATATATTTTCTCACAACAACGCCATTTAACAGGCGGGGAGACTGAGGCTTAGAGAGGTGAAAGGACTTCCCCGAGGTCATGCCTAGGCTAGTGGAGGAGCCCAGGCTTAAACACAAGCCTGATATGCTCTCAGCCCAGGGCCTTTCTCCCACAGTCTAGCTTCTTAAGGTAGCATTTTGCACTGAGACTTGATAGGGTGGATTCTGTGTTCTCCTTTTTGTTGCTGTTGTTCTGCTTTTGTGTTTGATTATTTTTATTGAGATATTTATATACCATATTCACTCTTTTAAAGTGCAAAATTCAGCAGTTTGGGGGTATAATCATGGATTTGTGCAACCGTCCCTACTATCAAATTAGAGAACATGTCTGTCAACCCAAAAAGAAACCCTGTGACCATTAGCAATCTCTCCCCATTCACTCTAACCCCCAGCCCCTAAGAATCACTAATCTGATTTGTGTCTCATATGAATGAAATCATACAATATGTGGCCTTCTGTGTCTGGGTTCTTTCCCTTAGCATGATAGCTCCAAGGTTGACCTATGTTACATAGGCTGTATTACTACTTCCTTCCTGTTTATGGCCTTATAGCATTCCATGGTATGGGTAGACCACATTTTGTTTATCTAGTCATCCATCAGTGGACCTTTGTGTTGTTTCCACTTTGGGGCTATTATGAGTAAAACTGCTATGAATATTTTGAGTTCTCTTTCAGCCCCCAAGCAGCCCCTGGCCCAAGAGAAGCAGAGGCCCTCTTAGAGACAGTTCACCCTTCCCCCCTCACCCAGGGAGTGCAGGACAGCCAAGGGCTACCCCAGGCACTCCAACCCACCTTGGCCAGAGCTCCTCTGATGTTACCAGATTGTCTGCTGAAGCCACATTAGACCACTGATTGACACTTTATGTGAAAACTGGCAAAATGAGAATTTGGCACAAACCTAGTAAGAGTGAAAATGCCTTTCAGTTGAAATACAAGCAGAACATTCTCCATTTGTTCTAGAACTTTGGGAGATGTCTTATCTTTTCATGGGCAGTACACAGGAGTCTGGAAGGTGCTTTGCTCACCCAGTGCCTGCTCCACACACTGTTTCTACCCCAGTACCAGGTAAATACCTGATGAATGGAGACTGCATTTGGCTCAATTCTTGACACAAAAAACAAGCTTGGACCCAGCTGTGCTGCTGGCCAGTTGTGTGACCTGGGGCAAGTGATTTAGCCTCTCTGTCTCAGTTTCCTCAGCTATAAAATGCAGATAATAATAGTGCCTTTGATGGGAGAGGTAAATGAGATAATATATGGAAGCACTTACAACACTCTCAAGAACAGGGTGAACATTCAACAACCACAAGCTCTTATTATTATTATTCTGACAGGTGTCCGTATGTTAGATGGACAGGGGCATAGGAAGGGACTTGCCTATTCACTGCCCCCTGAGATGCTTCACCAATATAATTTATATATCATCCACAGGGAACAATCAAATTCCTTGACATCAGTCAGAATGAAAGCATGGAGGATGCTGGGTGTAGAGACAGGTCAGACTAAAGTTTACAGGGGGCTGGATGAGCTCAGGTGGGCAAAG